TGTCCACGCGGCATTTAAATGTAAAAATGATGTTGGAACACATTTTAATCACCACAAAAAATGATGTAAAAATGATTGTAGAAACCAAAATTTTCATGGGCTCCTAAATGGGCCCTACCCCATAAACTCAAATTTACTTATGGGCCTTAGTATGGGTCCTTTTATTTGGACCATGTCCCATACTTTGAAAATGTGAATGGGTCTTAACAGTTGGGCTTTGCTTTTGTAAGTATATTAGCATAATGGAATGATTTATGTGGGACTCACTTTGAAGTCAAATTCAAATTCAAATGTGAATTATAAATCTTATTGATTTATGGAAATAATCCAACTATAATTCATCTTAAGTTCCAAAGATAGAAATTTAGTCAATAATTAAAGGGATAATAATTGGTGAAAGATCATTTTCTCTATAAATGGTAAATTACCAACCCCAAATCTCTAATCAATCAAAGCACATCTTCCCATAGATGGGAACTAGTCAATGATTGAAAAGAGAATAATGGGTGCTAAATTATTCTCTCCAAAAATGGCAATAATTACAAATTTTCATTCTCTAAAAAGGGTAAGGAGAGCTAATCCAATCCTTAATCAAGGGGATTAAGAGATGTGACCAAGAAATCTATAAATAAAAGTTCCCATCAAGAGGGAGGGGACTTTTTAGGACTCAAAGAAAAACTAAGTGAAAGTAAGAAGGCTCTCGGGAATAAGGAAACACATACACCATCTTCTAAAGAGCAAAGCCACAACACCTTTGAAGTCTAGCACAATCCTTCTTTTGATCAAGATTTCTAAGCCTAATTTAAGGAAGTAATTACCACTATTGTTTGAAGTACGAGAGTACGTCATTTGACCCTCAGCTTTAATGTAAGTCCAAATCATCAAGTTGCAAGAAGCATTATCAAGAGTAAATCAAAGGTCCTATCTCTTTTCTTTCTAAGCCCAATTGAATGGAGTAATTTCCACTATTGTCTGAAGTACGAGAGCATGTCATCCGACCCTCGACCTCAATACAAATCCAAACCATCAAGTTTCAAGAAGTATCATCAAGAGAGAACCGGAGGTCCTATCTCTTTTGTAAGAGAATTCAAAATACAAAGAATTTGTATAACATTTATTTGAAATATATAAAAAACAATTTATTTGAATGTCTTCATTTTTCTTGTATTTAGATTTATACAGAAGTATAAGAGTATGTCATTTGACCCTCAGTTTCAACATAAATCCAAATCATCAAGTTGCAAGAAGCATTATCAAGAGAAAATCAAAGGTTTTATCTCTTTTCTTTCCAAGCGCAATTGTATCCCATTTATTTGGAATATATAAAAAAACCAATTTATTTGAACTTATCTTCATTTTTCTTATATTTGGATTTATACACAAAATTTGTGAGGACAATGATGTTGGAATACATTTTAGTAAACAAATAGATTCAGCCTTTTGTCCATGTGATATTTAAATGTAAAAATGATGTTGGTAGACAATGAACAATAGAATATGTATAAAATAGAGATTCAGCTCCACATACCAATATAGAAGAATGATGGGAAGTTGGTAATGGTAAACCTATTAAATATTGGAATGGAAAGAATTCTTTGGTTAAGACCTTAACCCCTACACATCAATTCAATGAAAATGAGATGGTATGTGATTTCACCGATAAAGATAGAGGTGTGTGGAAGGAACCCCAAATTAGGAATTGTGCCCCTCTGAGTATTTGGAATAAAATCTAAGCAATTTTTATTCCTTTAAGCCCTAGAGAAGATAATTTGATTTGGGGGCTGAATCCAATGGGCTTGTTCACCATTAAATCGGCATACAAACTAAAATGTGAGGAGGAATCTTCAAGATCAAATTCAGAAAGTTGGGCTTCAAATGTATGGAGCCTTAAAATCATGCCAAAAATTAAAGTATTCATGTTCTTGTTGCTTAATTTAAGACTGCTTGTGAAAGATACTTTAAGAAAAAAGGATTCAAGATTGATGGTGATTATTGTAGATGTGGTAGGGAAGAAAATACCAATCATGTTTTTATTGAATGTAGTGCTTCGAAGTAAATTTGGGATCTCCTCCAGTTAAATTTAGGGAGCTCAATTGGAATAACTTTAATATAGGTAAATGACGGACAGAAGTTCACAAGAAAGATATAAGTGAAAGGGGCTTCTTAAAAGAAAGGTGTGCCTTTGTTCTGTGGAGTCATGGATTGAATATGAGGAATTATTTGAAAAACCAAAGTCCATCAAAGAGTTAAGAAGTTGGAAAGCCATCTTTTGAGCCCCTCTGAATCATGGAGAAAATAAAATTAATTTTGATGCTTCTTGTCATAGGAATGGTAGGTGTTCTGTGGTGGCCATCGCGAGGAACCATTGAGGTGAGATTTTGGACTTCAAAGGCTACTTCTTAAGCACTTCCATGATAAAATTTGCTGAAGCGTGGGCAGCTTGGGAGGCTCACAACTTGGTGGCCTACTTTTGTAACCACTCGATCATCATTGAAGGAGATTTGAACATTACCATCAATTGTCTTAAGGGGTTGTCTTCTCCCCCTAGAAACCTTAGTAACATCATTTTTTATTGCTTACAGATAAAAGACAAGTTGGAGCGTGGCGTCATTTATAGGCATGTCTATAGGGAGGCAAATCAAGCGGCTGACTGGATTGCAAATAAAGCTATATCTTTGGTTGATGGGTCAATTTCTTATAACCCTTGTAGTATTCCTAAGGATCTTGATTTAATTTACTTATGGGATGTTTGGGGGCATGCTACCCCCCCGGCTTGTGTAGCACCTCTTGTTGTTCATGTTCTGCCTGGAAGGAGTACAAATACAAATTTGTAGAGTACAAAATTAACCTTGCATTTTATATTATTTTGTATGTATTTGTATTGTACATATTTGTATTTGTACTTTTTCCAAACTGAGCTTCATAAAAAAATAAAGAAAAAAAGAAGATAGTGAATAATGTCTATTTTGGTTCAATCTCAAATTAAAAGATAAGGAACATTGTCTTCTTTTGAAAGATAATTTTGATATTATCAAAAGTGTTAAGTGGCACATTAATTAAACAAGATATTGATTAGGCTCCGCTTGTTTGCGATACAAACGCTGAACCGGGGTATTCATGTTTGCGAGTGTTTATTTCATGCGTAAAAAAATAATGATTGTCAAAGCAAAAATGTATTTTATGACATCTTTGTACTCTGATAAGAGAGCATTAATGTACCTATTTTTTGGATACAATTTTGTGTTCTTTTAATAATTAACTTTTTTACCAAAATTAAGGCGTTGGAGCATTTAATGGTGGGTCTACATTAAGAACTGATTTCAAACAAACAAAATGAATACAAAAACGGTTTAAATTGAGAACTGTATTTGTATTCATGAGCTGAAATATGGATAAATATTTAGTGTACATGTTGCGTTTGCATTGCAACCAAACGCAGCCTTAGGAATTTTCCCAAACACCATAACAGGCGTCAGGCGGTGGCCGGTGAATGCAACCGGAGAAGTGCGCAAACGATACGATCCCACTCCTGTCTCTTGGGCTTGGGCAGTTGGGCCTTGGCTGGCTGTTAAATGTTGAATTGTTGATGTCTTGATGATACAAGGTAGTATTCGTACCATCTAGAGATTGGTGGTTGTGGTTCATCCTCCATTCACTATATATATATATATCCAAATCCTGTATTTATAATATAAACCAAGTCTATTTTAAAACCCATGATGTCATGTATGTAGGCCCACAATTAGAAGCCCATTGATTCCAGTGCAGCTGTGCAGTCTGCAGGCCGCCCGTGTGGGAGTAATGTTCTGCTACTTCTTTTGTCGCGATATACAAATCTATTCAATACGCTTTTCAAATTTTAACCGCTTTGGATCCAATCATGTGACTGGTGTCAGGCTGTGTTCCGTTAAAATTTTTAAATTTTGAAATTGTTTGAGTGTTTTTTAATTTTTATGACTTATTAAAGTAAAAAATAAAAATTAGTCGTACTGCTGATTAAATGAAAATTTTTGAAATGGTTCCAGTGGTACTCTCTACTTCCGGTCCAGGCTCCACGCCTCGACCCTCCCTATTTGACCATTTGAGTATGTATTTTGAACGTCATCCAAGAATTGTCATGCAACCACAGGGTCTCAAGCTTGATCCGTTGTACCGTCAAAAAAAAAGCTTGATCCGTTGTCGTTGGAAAATTACATGGACGGTTGAGATTTATTCATCTCTGTGGTCCTCCACGCTTGCAGTGCTCCAAATCCAGGTGGGACCTGGGAGGTGGGGAGGGGAGGGACCCGCTCAGGTGCTCGATGGACGGTCTTCTTTTCTTTCTTCCGGTGCAGCAAGTGGTTCCCACTTCCTTTCCCGAATTCCCACCGGAAATAATACAGCTTTTTTTTTTTTTGGTGAATAATAGAAACAACCGTCCCGAATTTTACCCACCTTGGCCCGGTTACGGGGCCAACCACTGCACTCTGCAACGAGAGTCTGCTAAACTACAGAACCGGGCCAAGGTGGGTTAAATTCGGGACGTTGCTCTTATTTATGGCGCCTATAACACCCTCGCCCACTACCTATTTTTACTAAACTTGCCACTCGCTTCACGTCCACTAGACACTAGTGTACCATGCTACTATCACTGACCTCGAGCACCAATGCAACAATTCAAGATCTGTGCTTCAGGTTCAGGGTTTGAGATATAAATAATGAGCTTAAAGCAAAACTACAGTTTACAGATTTCTTATGTTCTTGGAATGTCGACGGGCTTAAAATTTAAAATAACTACAGTTTACAGGTTTGTTTATTACAAATTTGTCAGTTGATGGTTTCTTTGATTAAAGAATTCCATATTTTGAATTCAAGGACCGTACACTTCCTTTTTCTTTTCTCTTCCTACTCCCGCCTCCTCAGTGTCGTTTCGTTGGGTTACAATTACAAATGAAGGGAGTTGAACTTGAACTTAGTACTTACCAAATAAAAAGGAAAAAAAAAATATGAGGAGAGTAAGAAACTCTTTTACTTTTTGTAATTTCAAGGTTTTTTTTTTCGGAACATGGATTTGCATTTCTCTTATTGCTGTTTTCCAGGAAAGAAAGAATTTTTCCTTTCCATCTCTCGTCCATTTCCATAGGCTTTGATCAGAGTAACTGTATTGTTGCCTATGTTTATGCTCAATGAGACTTTGCTTTTTGTTTCCCCATTTTCTTTTCTTTTCTTTTTTTGGTAATGGTGATTGCCATGATGAGAAATCTGAACTTTCTACAACATGAAAGATTGCTAATGCTATTTCTGGCATTTTGCTTTTGTTGTTCAGGTTGGGAAGCACAAGTTGTTTTCTTTTGCTTATTGGGGCCCAGAATTTGAACCGGTAGGAAGAAAAGAATCCTTTTGAGAATGTCGGATGGGAAACGTCATTGTGCTGGTATACCTCTTTCAAAAACTCTGGTAGCTCTTAGGAGGGTGAGGTCGTTGAGAGACCCATCAACTAACTCTATGAGCAAATTATCTGCTTTTGCTGATAATCTGACATGGGAAACTGATTCTTGCAATGCGCTCTCTCTGCGTCTAGTAAATGCTTACCAAGAAGCTGGTTCGGACAACCACAGTTTCCGTGAGTCCAACAATGTTTATTTAAATGGGACAATGGAGGAATTTGGTAGTGATCCTGAATATAGTTACAGTTGGAGAAAATCAAACCTCAAATGGACTTCATCAAATAAATCAGCTCGGCTAAAAGATATGGGTTTGGGTTCTCTAAGAGCAGAGAACATTGATGAAGTTTGCTATCCCAGATTGCGTAGAATTGGGATGTATGTGAGTAAGTCATCTAGTGACAAATCATTAGATTTGGAGGAGGTGGACTTGCATAGTGAACCCACTTCAGAAACAGCAAGATCACAGAGGATTGACTCTACTACTCTAAAGAGGAAACTCAGATGTAGTACAGGAACTAAATCATCTGGGGTAGAAAGGGATGTTCTCGGGAGTCAGGTTGATAGTCCATATCCATCTCTAACTGTAAGTGATGCTCGGGTGGATGTGTCAAGCCACAGCACATCAGTCTTGGCTAATGAAGAGGTTGATGTTTTGGATCACTACCACCGTGGATGTGGCATTACTTGTTGCTGGTCAAGAACTCCAAGATTTAGGGAGTCAACTCTTCCTCCTGATGTAGAACATCATCCTTTATTATCAGCAGCAGCAGGAGGACGGGAGACAGGTCTATCTGGACAAGAAAGGAGCTGCACATTTCTTAAGAGACAATTTGCTCCATATGCAGACAACCCAAGGAGTTTCAGCCAGAAGTTCAGGCCAAGATCTTTTGATGAATTGGTGGGGCAGCATGTGGTGGCACGATCCCTTTTGAGTGCCATATCGAGAGGGAGAATTGCATCCTTCTATCTTTTCCATGGTCCCCGTGGCACAGGTAAGACTTCAACCTCAAGGATTTTTGCAGCAGCTTTAAATTGCCTCTCCCTTGAAGAGCATAAGCCATGTGGGTTATGCCGAGAATGTACACTCTTCTTCTCTGGAAAGAGCAGTTATGTCAAGGAAGTGGATCCTGCAAGCATCAACCGGACAGACAGGGTTAGATTCCTCCTTAAGACTGCAATTCTCTCACCAATTTCATCACGGTTTAATGTCTTCATCATTGATGAATGCCAGTTACTACAACAAGAAACATGGGCAACTGTTTTGAATAGCCTAGAAGACCTCCCACAGCATGTTGTCTTTGTAATGATCACTGCTGACCTTGAAAAGCTACCACGCGGTGCCATATCACGGTGCCAAAGATATCACTTTCCAAAAATAAAGGATGCTGAAGTTGCAAGCAAGTTGGAAAGAATATGCGTTGAAGAATGTTTGGACTTTGACAAGGCTGCTTTGGATTTTATTGCTGCTAAATCTAATGGATCCCTTCGTGATGCAGAGATGGTGCTTGATCAGCTGAGTTTGCTGGGGAAAAGAATTACGGTTTCATTGGCATATGAACTTGTAAGTTTCTGATATAGCACACACACCTTATTGCCTTGTGCAGATTGGTATGCCTTTACAAGTATCATAATTTTTCCTTCTCTTATTGCCTTTTTTTTTTTTGCAGATAGGAATTGTTTCAGATGATGAGTTGCTTGATTTGCTTGACCTGGCATTGTCCTCTGACGCTCCAAATACAGTTAGAAGGGCTAGGGAGCTTATGAAAACAAGGGTTGATCCCATGCAACTGATATCGCAGCTAGCAAATCTCATAATGGACATTCTTGCTGGAAGATGTCAGGCAGAGGTTGGGAGAAATTTTTTTGGGCAGCATACTTGTAAGTTTAACTTTCTTACTAATTGATTTACTTTTGATAATGTACACTCAATGTCACTGTGACAGCAAATCCCTGTTTCTCATTTTGATTGGTTAACAGACTATCAAGGAGGATGGCAATTTGATAATGTTAGTCATCTTAAGTAGGAGGATCTTGAATGATCTGGTTTCTATCAAATATAAATTTTGGAACCTTCTATTTGCCTTAATGGAAAAAAAATGAAAAGTCTGTCAAAATAAAAACAAAAAAAATTCAAAGAGTGCTGAAAAGTTTAGTTATGTTACCACCCTCTGTAGATTTTTGTTATCAAAGTTACTTGTTAGTTATTACTCGTAAGCATGAAAGAACTGGAATTGGTGGGGGAGGGTCCAATGAAACCCACCTCAAAAATGGTTGAGGTAAGACTTCTGGTATCTGAACCAATGCTTCTATTGCTGCATGTATTCGTAATCGTGAATTAGTACAATAAAGATTTCCATAATGTGAAACTATTGGCAACACAATTTTTACGGGCGTCCATGTTTGTTTTCCATCACTTTCTTTTTGTAATATAGCCAAAAGGTTGTAAGTTTGAACCAATGTTTTGAAACCCCAACTGTTTTTCAACTCCCAAAAGGGACTAGGTCATGAATCAACAGTTCAACCATCAGGTCTAAACTTGCTTCATGGTGCAAATTAAAATAATTTTTGAAGAACTAAGAGATATGCAGAACAGAAGAAGAAAATACTTTGCAGGGAATGGGGAAAAGAGTACGGTTGGAAAGACACCACTAAAAGTATTTATATGAGACGATATGGAATATTGTCAAAGAAGGAAAACGTTAGAAGAAAATGAAAAATTAAGAAAGAAAGCTAGGAAGGAAGGATTTAGGGATGATTTTACAACTAAGAAAAAGAATTGGAGATATTTTAGGTCAATTTGTTGAGAAGTGCATATTCTCTGTATGACTGTGGAAAAAAATAGGAAAAGAATAAGTGTAGCAGTAGAATTTCTAAATGAAATTTTGTAGTGATGTTTATAACAATGGATTGTATGGAACAAGTTAATTTGAAGGAATTATCATTAGACCTTCCCCAAAATGATTAAAAAAATCACTTTATATGAGAAATTTTCAAAATTCTAGAAACTAGGGTTTTAAGTAAAGTTTCAGATTCAATTTGGTAGGATGAAGGGTGATAGAAACTTCTAGGGGAAACTAAACATAAAGGACATGTGAATATGGTTTGGCAGAAAAGGATGAAATGAATTAAAATGGGCAAACTTTGGGTTTTTATGTAAACTTGAAATCACATTTAGTCCTTTAGAGATGTTAAATAAACTTTTTTGATGAAAAATTTGTAAGCCATTGATGACTATAATGGCTGCTTGCAAAGTTATAGAAAAGAGAAAAAACCTGAAAATCATTCAACAAGGGCCTAGGGTTGCTATAAGGAATCACCCATTATAAGCATAATGTGAAGAAAATTCGTTCTGAATGGTCCAATTGTCCATGTTTTAGAACATTGATTAGAACCCCTCAGGCCTCAGGGGCATTTTTACTCTAGTTTTAGTTAGGATGATGTTATACCTAAATATAATGTATACCTATATCCATCTGAATCCGATCAATTATAACCCAAGTTGGCCGGCTTTGTGCTAAGAAGTAGCATTGCAAAGCAGACACAGTTATTATTAGTCATGTTAGGAAATGTAAGCCTAGTTGTCCGTGTTGACGTGTTGGCCAAGAATGGCAACACCTTTTTTCCAACCATGCATGGGCTTGGATAATCTTTCTAAAAACCCAAGGGAGAAAAAAATAGTTTTCAAGTAAGCTATTCATTATTAGGCTTATGTTAAAAAAAGTGCTTAAAAACAAGTGCTTATTTGAATAACCACTTATTTGCATTTGGCACCCAGCTTTCTCAAGTGCTCATTTTAAAAAATAAGCACTTATTTTATATTGGGTGTTTAGTGGTCTTTTCTCTAATAAGCACTTAAACAAGTAATTGTGACTCTTTTTCCTTCATTTTCTTTCAAATTTTCAAAATATCCAATCCAAAGTGAATGAATAAAAGTACTTTGATAGAAGCGATTTTATAAAAGTACTTTTACAAAGTGCTTTCATAAAAGTACTTCCCTAAAAATACTTTTATAAAAGTGCTTTTGTAAAAGTGCTTTTAAGAAGGTACTTCCGTAGAAGTGCTTTTCAAAAAGTGCTTTTGTAAAAGTATGTTCATAAAATTGCTTTTGTAAAAGTACTTTTATAAGAGTACTTTCATAAAATTACTTTTGTAAAAGTACTTTCGCAAAAGTACTTTCATAAAAGCTTTCGTAAAAGTACTTTGATAAAAGTGCTTTCATAAAAGTACTTTCCTAAAAGTACTTTCATAAAGTGCTTTTGTAAAAGTGTTTTCATAAAAGTGATTTTGTAAAAGTACTTTTCATAAAATTACTTTTATAAAAAAATTGCTTTTGTAAAAGGATATAATTGGTATTTTAAAAATTTACTGGGGATAATTTTGGGAGAAAAAATATTGAATAAGTGCTTATTGTATGAGCACTTAAAAAAACTGGAAATTTGGGCTTAAAAAATAAGCCCTTATTTTTAAAATAAGCACTTATTTCGGGCTTATTTCCCAAACACCAATAAGTCCTTAATGGTGTGGTCCCCGCCCAAATAAGCATTTATTTATTTTTAAGCACTCCCAAGCATAGTCTTAATCAATTAATGAATATGTACCTGAAAAACCATAATGTCATTAACTTCTTTTGGGCAAGAATAGTGTCATTAACATAAAGCTGTAATGTAATAATATAACTAAGAAATTATAACCTAATAAAATACATTAATTAATTATTTAGAAGTGATTAATACTTTGCCTTAACTATATGTTTTACTGTTAAAATTGATTGACAAATTGTGCACTTTGTATACTCGATTAGTTGTCTCATCAATTTCTAATATATTCTTTTAATAGCTGAAGGAGACTTTCACAGATTGAGGCATGCATTAAAAGTACTTTCTGAGACTGAGAAGCAATTGAGGACATCTAAGAACCAGACAACTTGGCTTACAGTAGCCCTTTTACAGCTAAGTTCTGTAGAATCCTCATCCTTGGACCCAAATGATTCAAGACCATGTTTGAGAACAGAACAGGAGAAAGGTGTGGATGATCAGAACAATTTGTTTTTAATAAGCGATTATATTGGTTGACAAGGTTCTACTAATCTAAGGGAGAAATATTTAATGATTAAGTTTACTTTTGATGCAGAGGATGGCTTTTGCAGCACATCTCCAACAGGAGATATGTTTAAGCATTCTGTTTCTTGTTTGTGCGATGACAACAAATCTCATAATTCAGAGATGCATGAAGATTGCAAAGACAAATTAGAAACCATTTGGAAGAGGGCCATGGAGAGATGCCAATCTGATACACTTAGGAATTTTTTACAGAAAGAAGGGAAGTTGACTTCTCTCTGTTTCAACCAAGGTATGTACAATTTTTTTTCTTTGAATTGTGTAATGTAAGCCTGTGTGCACATTCGATTTTGTATGGTTCAAAATATTAGAGAGCATAGTGGTGCTTAAAAAGATAGAAAAACATATTCTTTTTGTCTTTTACACAGAAACAGGTACCCCATATAGTTTATGAAACTGCTTGGAATCTGGTGACACTGGACCAATAGTTATGGTCTGAATATGGTGCCCATATTTTTCCACATGCTAAATACTCGTGTTATAACTTGACACTTGTTCCTGTTAATCTTAAGTTGTACCCCTTTATGGTGGGTCCCATCTATAGTCCTGTGGTCACAAATACAAGATTTTGTCATAAAGTTTTATTGTTACAATCAACTTGTTTTGTTAACTCAAACTACAATAAATTTTCATAAAATCCTCCCTGATGATTACAGAATTTTTAAGATGTTATCTTTTTAAAATTTCATAAAATCATGACTTGATAATGCTTGTCTGAATTTCAGGTGTTGCAGTAGCTGAAGTGGAATTTTGTCATCAAGATCATGTATCTAGGGCAGAGAAGTCATGGAAACTGCTTGCAAGTTTACTTTGCCTTGTCCTAGGTTGTAATGTAGAAATTAGAATCAATCTTGTCCCTGGTGCTTCTGCGACAACCATTGTGAAAAGAAAGAAGCTATCATTTTGTTTGTTGAGCTGCTCTGGTAGAATGAGTGATGAGTCATATTCAACAACAGAAGATGAAAATAACCATTTAGATCACTCTGATTTCACCTCTGATAAATCTACAAAAAGGGAAAAACATATTGAAAGTTGCTCATCTGATTGTGGTTCTCACTTCTCTTCTACCTGTTCTCATCATAAAGCAACAACTACTACTGGTAAGAAGAGCAATGGAAACTCTCTAAGCAGCAGGACAACCACATCCCACAAATCAGAGCATGATACAGAGGGATCCCAGTTAGGAGTCAATTCTTCAAAAGAAGAGGCAAATGACTGGGGCCACCAGGATTTTTCTATTCAAGAACCTGAGGATCAACCAAGCTGCTTCTCAAAGACTGTGAGGTTCCATCGAAGGTTATGTTCATCTACTGCATCTCAAGGGATCTGTTTGAGGATTCATGCACACAACAAACTTGAATTGTCCATTCCAAGGAAGGCATCTTTTAAAACATATTACTGTGCCAATGAACCTGACATTCTATGCCCCAGCTCTAATACATGCGGTAACAGTTTCATGGCTGACGATGGGTATGTGATTTTATAGTTTCTAGTTTCTTTTAAATCTTACTTTATTAGGATACTTAGATAGATAGATTGACTGTGCCTGAAACCATTTTGACAACTTAGAAACTTGGTGGAAATAGAAGCCAAATTGACAACCCTACTCTCAATGAAGCTTTATTCCTACTGTTTGGATCATCTAGGAGAACTTGCTATGCTATTCCACTAGGTCATATCCATGCCCTAGCATGAGGTTGGAATGAGCTGGTATTTATGTCCTTCAGGCTCGGTTTGGAAAGAGAAGAAATACAAATATGTACATCACAAATAAAGTATTCTAAAATTTAGAAGTTTTTTTTTTTCTTTTTTTGAACATTATCCATTATATTCCCATTGTCAATGCTCGTCAAGTTTTCCCTTGGAAAGAAGAATATGACTCTCATTTCATTTTTTTACTTGTATTTTGGCAGGCAAAGGAAGGAATCTGGACTTGGCTTAAATGTGCACTGCTGGAGAGCTCCCAAGTTTCCTCTTAGAAGGGTAAAAGCCGAGCATCCATACTGTTGAATACTGTGTTTCATTTAAGGAGAATAAGCTTTTTTTTTTTCTACAAGTTAACCTGAGTATGTGCTACTCCAGGCTTGGCTGCTGAGGCAACAAGGTCAAGGATCTCATATAGTGAGTTGGGTTCTGCCATGCACGAATGCAAAATAGTTTTCTGATAAAACTGAATTCTTCAAACATTTTCTGCTGCACTAAGCATTAATAATTGTACCCTCTCAGATGTTGCAAGCATATCACAGACTTACGTGATTGTGTATATTGAGTTGGAACTAATCAAACACAAAAAGGAAATAAAGAAAGAAAAGTATGTACCATGAGTAACATAAGGCAGAAGAAATCACCAAGCCATTTTGAAAGCCTCCAAATTCCAATGGCTTCATTTGGCCACTTTTGCTGGTGCATGATGGGGCTTGCATTGGCGAGCTTCCAACTTGTATCTCGCTTGTTTTCTTAATAATAGAGATGCTTGTCCAACCGCTACTTTTTTTTTTCCCTGTAATTGAACGTTTTCAGCCCAGGTAGGCGTTGCAATCTTGATCCGATCCACCCAGACCTACGGGTTTGGGCTGACCAGGTTGATGGTCCCATTCAATAGGTATTATTGAATTGGACCAGTCCAGATTTAATGGTCCAAAGTATTTATTAGATTGTATTAAACCTGCTCCAATTGAATCAATATCCAGTCCATTGACAGAAGATAAAAAAAGTATTGGTGTCAATGCACCAGGTTTGGGTTGGACCCAATCTAAATTAAAACCAACTTGAACAGATGGGATGATCCATACATTGAATTAGACCAGCCCAGAATGGTCAGGAGTATTCATAAGATTGGATTGGGCCTGGTCCATCTGTAATGGATTTATATTGGACCGGGTTTGGTTGAACCAATATCTATCCAGTACATTGACAACCCTACCCAGACCCATCTCTCTCTCTCTCTCTCTGATAAGTACTGCATCTGGATGATCTGGCATCATAGAAATTGCCATTTCACTAATTAATTAAATTAAAAATGATCATAACCAGTGCAGTGAACCACATCCACAAGAAGAGAAATAGAAAACTTAAAAAACAAAGGCCTATGTTTGCAAGTAAATGAAATCAATTTATTAGCTTCTTTGAAAAGTGAGATTTTCTTTGCTCCCTGATTATTGAAATTGCTCCAAGTCTAAGCTCACCTGCACTCCAAATTCTTCAACTCATATGGCTATAACTCCTATTCATCTTAACCAATTCGGCCTAATTAACCACCATATTGCATTTGCTGATTTTAGTGTTGGAGTGCTCCTCCCTAGGGAGGAATCACCTAGGCGCCTCTAACTCTAGTTTTCACAAGTCATCAGATTAGCACAACTTGTTCAATTTATCAAGACAACTCATATGCTGCTATCCACATCAACCTAGACAACATCAAGGAGTATTTTAGTAAATTCAATATACAGGTGGAGGACAAAAAAGGGTCGGGTTTAGCTTAATACTATATTCTCGTACCTTAAAAATTATAAAATCTTTAAACCCATCTTCACCTCAAAATCTTTTTTATTTTTTTCTTTTTGTTATGGTCCAAAGTGAGAACAGAGTAGTCCAAACCTTTGGGTTGGTGCTTTGGTTCCAAAACTCATACACCGCTTTCCTTAAAGCTATGTTTGGTTCTTGTAAAGGTTTCCCTATCTTTTCCCTACTTTTTCCTTCAAACTAAACACAGTGTAAGTTGAAACCAATAAAATCATAGTCATAATATATATTTGGATAAATCCCTTAAACCTCCCCTGGGTTTTTGAAAAGGCCTTAAACCTTTGATTTGCATTTAAACCTCCCATGGCTTTTGGAAATAAATGGATTTAACGCCAATTTTGGCCATATATAAAATCATCAAGCGTTTGATGTCTAAAATACTGTTAAACCTTTGACCGAAAAAACACCTTATATCTTTAGCAAAAAAATAAAATAAAATACCCTTAAACCTCTCTCTCTCTCTTGCAAAAACAAGTTTGTTTGTTTATGCCAATGATAAAATGAAATACTAAAATATATTTACTCATATTAACAATTTATGGGTAAAATTAGAATTATGAAAAACTGATAAAATGATAAGAGAAATTAGTATGTGCATAATAGAAAGTAGCGTGCGGTCCTGAAATCTGGATTTTTAATTGACATTGTTCATTGTTCTTCATAGGAGTTATCACTTGATTGATTGAATTAGTACATATAAATTTTAAAATTGTGAACTTAATTGTAATTATTCATTATATATAGTCGCCAGTCGGAAAATGAAAGTTTAAGTTTGGTGATAAAACTAGTTGTTGATTTACATTAAGTTGCAACTCTGGTATATTTGTGTGTATAACTGTATATCAGAGTTGTGGCGTGACCCTATAAAATGAAATGTAGGAAAACCTTTACAAACTTTACATTAGTTTTTTTGTCTTTTCCTTCTTTTTCCTTCACACCAAACATAGCCTTAACGTCTTTTAAAAAAGTGACGGAAGGGGGTATCTAAGTGACTAAGTGCCCTACCCCAAAACTCAGGGGAAGTTTAAGGGATTTACGGTTACCTTGACCCAAAAAAACAAGAACAGGCGGGTAAGGTAACAACTTACCTGGTACAGACAGCATCCGAGATTCCGACAGAGATCAACAATGGAGAACGAAATTGAGACCAGAAGGATTAGGGTTTTGTGCCGTAAGCACATCACCACCAACAAGGAGCATTCTCTTCAGTGGCTGATCGGATCCCCATTTTTGCCTCCATTTACCATCATTTCCACATTCAGATGTCTCCACACTCAACCTGGGGATCCCTTCTCCCCGGACTACACCAAAGAATCAGGTCAGTTATACTTGTTCCATAGATCCATCTTGTCTCTGTTCGAATTCTGTTTGAGTCGCTTCATCAATGAAAACAGACGATCTTAGGACATTACTATTGAGAGGATTTGACGTCATCGGAACATTACTCGTCGGTAATACTATTTTGGAAGAAAATGCCCGTAAGGCAGTTGGTGCAGCTCGTAGAATGAAAAAGTTTCTTTCTGGCAATGATCGGGGAAGTTGCAATTTGTTGGGAGCTGTTGCGGATTCGGTATCCGGTGACATTCGTTTTTTTGTGTCTGCATCAGAAAATTCTGCAGGCCTAGAAACTATTAATACCGTTACATATGAAGATTATCCTGAGAGATATCTATCAGAGACAGGTTGTTTCCTCCATTGCAAACTGTCAATCAATTTGCCCATTTATTTTCCGGCACATAGTCCATCTGGTTAGTTCTTTTCTGGTTTACATTCTATTCCGCTTGATGCATGAGCTCGATTCTAAGTGCTTGTTGTTTCATCTTAGATGCCGAGGGGATATTTTCTTCAGAAACTGAATCTGTTGCTGCCAAGTTCAAAGATCCACAAGTTGCTTTTATGATAGAAGGTGTGAAAGAAGCCTCTGGGGAAGTAACACAGCCCATTATTCTCCGTGGTGTGGATTTGGATTTTCATACAGATTTATCAGATGTCAAAATTTTGAAGGACATTACTAAAGAATCTAGTACAAAGATTAGACCATGTTCTGATTTTTGCTCTAAGATTAAACCCCATTCTTCATTTACTCTTGAGAAGGTAACAGAATTTCTTGTAGATGTATGAATTCCATTGAGTTGCTGATATGGTATCTTTTGTTTTACTTGAATGCAGTTTTAGTGGATTAATTTTGTCACCATCTTAATATAATAATCAAAAGAGTTCAACTATGATGTCAGAAAGACATGATACCAGAAAAACTTATAACCAATCAACCGACATAATAAAAGTCATAAACCCCATTACTAAAGAATCTAGTACAAAGATTAGACCATGTTCTGATTTTTGCTCTAAGATTAAACCCCATTCTTCATTTACTCTTGAGAAGGTAACAGAATTTCTTGTAGATGTATGAATTCCATTGAGTTGCTGATATGGTATCTTTTGTTTTACTTGAATGCAGTTTTAGTGGATTAATTTTGTCACCATCTTAATATAATAATCAAAAGAGTTCAACTATGATGTCAGAAAGACATGATACCAGAAAAACTTATAACCAATCAACCGACATAATAAAAGTCATAACCAATCAGGCAGGTTTTCATCAAAATTCATGGGGGCTTTGATAGGTCAAGGCCTTTTGGTATCATGTCTTTCTGGCATCATAGATTTTTGAGAACAGGCATCATAGGTTTTTCCTAATCAGAATGGCCATACATTTTTTAGCAGCACATGAAACGGCTATCTACTTATTGAGTCCAATTATGATATTACAAAGGGGTGATTCCTAAAAAAACTGATTAACCAATCAACCAGTATCATAGAAGTGGTAACTAGTTGTCTGGTATTAATTAAAATTCTTTTTTTTTTGTTTTTTTTTTTTTGGGGGGGGGAGGGTCTGAATGTCTGATTAGTCAAAATTCTTCTGGTATCATACCCTTCTGGAATCATAGAAAACTTCCTATTTATTTTCCACTTTTGAAGACTATGACCATTCCTTGAAGTTTTTGCCAGTGTTATAGTTCTCTGTTGTAAAAGTTTCTGTGGTTAGAGTGCAGATACAGTCCAAGTAACCGTCCTGCTAAATAAATGTGGAAGTTCTACAGAATCTGCTTCACCTATTGCAGAATATTTGCCAGGTATTTTTTAGTGTTTTTAACTCGTATTTTATACTGAAGCATTTGTATTGCCATGCTCTAATCTAACATTGGTAACTTAATATTTTGGTTTTCCAATTTAATTCATTCAGTGTTAACATTTCCCCAATGGTTTTCCAGCTTCAGAGCCAGCAAGGTATTTGGTTGTCAGTTTTAAGCTAGATGTCCTCTGCTACACTGTGAAGGATCTTCCTGTAACATATGCAATTTCAAAGCTGATTGTGCCAGGATTAATTGATCAATTAACTACAATGAAGAAGGCTCTCTTGCCCAACCTCTTAGCACAACATCCTCAGGTATTAGGCTCCAAACTTAATGAAAACACTGAAAAGTATAAGCAGTGTTATTGTTTCTCTTCATTAATTTCAATGTTTTAGATGTGGGGAACACCATTAAATTTACCATGTGACCAGATGGTAAGATATTAACATGGCAAATATGTTAACTTTGAAAATAGATCTTTGTCGATGCCCGAGGTTGCAAAATACTTAAAAATCAACCTCTCTAAAGTGAACTTCCTTTTGAAGTTGGGATTGAGTATCTGGAGGAATTGCAGGGTTGTTGTCTTGAAAGATAGAGACATTTTCATGGATATATGCGGGCCTTCCATGTGGTGCTCACTAACAATTCTCATTTATCTGTAACCCAATGGTGGAGACATTTAATAGGATGCCGGTTTCGTAGAAGAATTGAGAATTTGAGATACTCTTGTAAGCTTACTTTATCTATATCACTTGCTTTACAAGTATAACATTGATGATCTCTCCGTAAGGTGAAGTTTTTGGTTCTGGTTGGCAGTATTACAATTAAGGCAGAGTCCCTATGTAGCATCTACCTACAAAGGAACTTTATTATGCCAGTGTTATTAGGTGGTCAGCAGGTTGTTTTGGAATGAAGTTCAAATTATACTCAATGATGCATAGGTAGAGAAATAAATTGGGTTCTTGGCCTGACTAATGGTGTTCTGCTCTCTTCCTTTGATGATAAGTAACCATGAAGTTGGCATTCAAAGGGACCTTTCTAAATACAATATTTGTTTGTCCCTGTCATATGAAGTTGATATTCCAATTAATTTTGACTGTTTCTTCCTCGCATCCTATCATGGTGAATGCAAAGGCTGAATTTTTCTAATCTTGTTACTGATCACAGATCCATAAAAAGAAAAGAAAAGAAACCTTAGGTCTTCCTGTGACAATGGTTTATTCTAAAGTTTTTTGCATTACTCTTATCTTGTAAATTAATGATCTAATGTCTGGAAGTGAGATAATGCTATCTTGATAGAGTCACTCTCTGTGTTCGTAAAAAAAAAAAAAGGGAAGAAGTTATAACATGCTGTTTCATAATTGGTAGCTTGACTGATTTCTTACCAATCTTAAGTTTTGCCATTAATTGGTACTGTGAGGGATTTTGGTAAAGATTCAGTCATCAATGCAAGTCAGTTTTGCCTGAAAGTTGCATGTTTGACACTATTCAATTACCATCATTTCATTGCCCAGTTATTTCAGACTCTAGCTTCACAGTAAGAGATTGTTTTCCAACTAAGATGCAATTATGTTCTTGTTATGAAAACTGAGTATGTTGTTCCATCATATATTGGGTGCATTCTGCAGTAACATTTAACTTATAATATGCTTTTTTAATATAAAATATCAAATTCGTTGCAACTTTTGCTCAATTAGTTTCTTTTAATCCTATTTTAACATTACAGAGTATTTCCCACTATGCCTTAACCATCTGTTCCTCTAAGGGCATAATTGTCTCTTTCATTGCTAGTGTCAGACAATTTTTATGTTACTGTTGATACTAGTTATCAAGTGGTATTTTTTCTTTTACCCATTTATCAGAACTTTTGCTTGCATGTCCCAGGGAAAATACTGTTTGATACCCACTAAGCAATATCTTGTTTTGCAGCTACACCCATATCACTTCTGCCCTCCTGGAGTAGTGCATCCGATAACAGTTATCTATGAACTCAGTTATGGCGAGACTGAGATGAAACAAGGTAGTTAAAACTAAGCAGACTTGAAAATTATAGTATAGAAGCAGAAAATGTGTTTGAGTTTGCCCATATTATAGAACTGCATTTGAAGCAGATGCCTATATTAAATGGTCTTTAACAGCTTTATCCATTTTCTTTTAATTCTTTTACTAGGAAACTCCATCAGAGAGTAGTAATGGAGTAAGTTATTATAATACAAGTCAAAAACAGTTTCCTATGGATTCTTTTCCTTTTTGAAGAAGGAAAAGTGATTCTAATTTCTGTCTTAGTGCCTTTTCTTTTTCCTCATTTTGGTGTAATCTATGCCTCATAGATTTTGGTGCATGAGTAGGATGTAGGTATGTATCCAGTGGTCCAATCTGTTTGGCCTCAAAAATCCTGGAATATGGACTCGATTAAGATAAAGTCACCGATTATGTATTGCTACATGGGCATATACATTAAAAAATAGATATCTGTGCTTTCTAAATAAGCAAGTTGGCCATACTTAATAATTTAGATTTGCTTTATTTTATACGTGCAACACGATAATAACAAACTTATTGACTCCTCTTACTACTTCAGGGCTTAAAATTAGCATAAATCTCATGTTGGAGTGATTTGCAAATGGAAAGGGACTGTCAAGTGGTTATTAGGTAGATGGGAAAAAGAGAAGGCCCTTGGTCCCTAAGAAATTACATGAACAAAGCTAGAGGTATTTTCTTCCATCATTACAGATACACTAGCAAGGAAGTAGGTAGGAAAGATTTAGATTTTTTGGGGGGCACCAGGTCCAGGGGCCACATTGTAGAATGTTATCAGTCCACTGCTATTTTTTTGTCTTCTCCATTCATATACTTCTGACTGTCTGCCTATTGAAAAGAAAAAAATATGCTTTGGACTGTCAGGGTTCTTGTTTTTATCATATTAGTAAAACTTTTTTATCATGTTAATGATAAAAAACAATAAAATTCTGAATGAATTTGAGGAAAATAACTTACAGAAGGAGATGGCAGATGGGCTAGGTGTAGAAAATGAGAACAAGGGTGTAGGAAGTGGTGAGGGAATAAGTAGGAAAGGAA